TGGTGGCCGGGAGCGGCCACTGCACTCCAGTCTGGGCGACAGAGTGAGACTCCAACTCAAAAAATAAATAAATAAATAATAGAAAACTTAAAAAAAAAAGCATTTTCCTTTTTTTTTTTCTGAGTTTGAGTCTCACTTCATTGCCCAGGCTGGAGTGCAATGTCACACTTAGGCCACCCCAGCATTGACCTGGGCTCAGGCGATCCTTCCACCTCAGCCTTCCAAGTAGCTAGGACTACAGGTGCACGCTACCACCCCTGACTAATTTTTTTATTTTATTGTAGAGATGAGGTCTTGCCAAGTTGCCCAGGCTATTCTTGAACCCGTGGGCTCAGGCGATCCCCTCACCTTAGCCTCCCAAAGTACTGGTATTACAGACTTGAGCCTCGGTGCCCGGCCAAGAAAAGTATGTTCAAATTCAGGATTAAAAAGAGAAAGGGAAAATTCTATACTCGTTTTAAAGTACTCCCCACCCCGCCCCATGACTGAATTTTAATTCACCAGAAAAAAATGATAATGAACCTTTGGTAAATATTTTCCCTCTAATTGTTTTCTTGTGTGTCATCTTTCATAGTTTAATTACAAAACCATATCACTGCCCACTTGCCATCTGCCAACTAGTAATCCAGGACATTAAATGGAGAAAACGTGGATCGTGTGAGCATTAAGTTAAATCTGTATATAATTAATTACTTGAGTAAAATCCTCCTACCTAGATGGCCACTTTCAGTGTTTTGAAAACTCAGAACATCATGGTATTGAAAGGCTGCTTACAAAAGGCAGTCTTGCCATGAGGCAAGACAAGAGGAAATAAAAATCTGTCTTTAAACATTTCCAGAAAGCTTGTGTCTTAGACAGCAAGTGTGTATGGCTAATCTGCTAAGAGCCTGATTTTCTAGTTTAAGATGGTGTATTCCAGTCCCAACTCTAGCTCCCAGAGCTTGTTTCTAAAACCCTATTCCCTACTAAAAGGATCCCTTGCTCCTTGGAGGAATGATTATTTCCAGGTTTGGGCAGGAAAAGGATAAGGTGGGGCCAGGGCATCTTCTGCCACAAAATAAAGAAGTGCTTAAAAACTGAAAGTGGGGCTGGGCGCAGTGGCTTATGCCTGAAATCCCAGCACTTTGGGAGGCTGAGGTGGGAGGATTGCTTGAGCCCAGGAGTTTGAGACCAGCCTGGGCAATGTAGCGAGACTGTCTCTCTACAAAAATTCAAAATGTTAGCTGGGTATGGTAGCCCACACTGATAGTCCCGGCTACTCAGAAAGCTGAGGAGGGAGGATTGCTTGAGACCAGGAGGTCGGGGCTGCAGTGAGTTGTGATTGTGCCACTTGACTCCAAATTGGGTGACAGAATAAAGTCTTCATTTAAAAAAATAAAAGATAGCTGTTATTATTTTGGAAAGAGCACTGTGCATCTGGAACCTTGAGGACTGCCTGTCAGCAGTCAGTTCTGCTCAGGCAAGTTGATAGGTCTGACTTTCCTCCCCTTTAAAAGGAAGGTATTGGAATGGGAGCTTTCTAAGGTGTCACCTGGCTCTAAAAGGTGATCTCATCCATTCATCAGAATCTGAAAGATGTGCACCTGCCATTTGCCCGGCACTGCTCTTAGTGAGGCATACTTAGCTGGGTGCAGTGGCTCATGGGTGTATTCCCAGCACTTTGAGAGGCTGAGATGGGAGGATTGCTTGAGGCCAGGAGGTTGAGACCAGTGTAGGCAACATAGTGAGACCTCATTGCTACAAAAAAAAAAAATTACCTGGACATGGTGGTGTGCCCCTCTAGTCCCAGCTACTAGGAAGGCTGAGGCAGAGGGATTGGCTGAGCCCAGGAAGTCAAGGCTGCGGTGAGTTGTGATTATGCCACTGTACTTCAGCCTCGGCAACAGAGTGAGACACTAATTCAAAAGAAAAAGAAAGGGGAGGGGAGAGAAAGGAAGAAAGGAAGGAAGGAAGAAAAGAAGAAAGAAAGAAAGAAAAGGGCATATAGCAAGCACCAAAGCCTTAGACATCTCTGCCTCATGTAGCTTGTGGTCTAGTGTGAGTGCTCTACCAAATAAAGCAGGAGATGGAGTGGGGTTATGATTTCTGGACAGATGGGAAGCCTTATTGAGAAGGTGAGGTTTAGGGTTGCCTGAGCCCAGGGGTTCGAGACCAGCCTGGGCAACTTGGTGAGACCTCGTCTCTACAGTAAATCAAGAAAAATGAGCTGAGTGTGGTGGCATGTACCTGTGTTTCCAGCTACCTGGAAGGCAGAGGCAGAAGGATTGCTTGAGCCCAGCAGGTTGAGGCTGCGTTGGTTGTTAGTGTGCCACTGCCCACCAGCCTGGGCCACAGAGTGAGATTCTGACTCAAAAAGAAAAAAAAAAGATGAGGTTTGAGGAAGCATCTGAGGAAGCTCGTGAAGAATGAAATGAGACATTGGAGACACACTGGGTTATAGAGACCTCGTGGGGGCAAATCGCCCAACTCTGTCATCCAATAACAAGAAATCAGTTGAGTTGCTAAGAACTTGCTTTCGGCAAAACAAAAATCTAAAAATGTTTTCCCTGCCATTTTGACACTGCTAACAAATGTCTTGCACAGAAATGACTGGAGGGTCCCTCGAGACAGTATGCTCCTTGAGGGCAGCCTCCATATCTCACCAGCTCCATCACCAAATATGAGTTCTGGCCTGTGAAAGGCTCCCAGGAAGCATTCATGCCCCTCCTTCTCCCTTCTCGTTCATGATATCCAAATAATCCCAGTATTTGGTACTGTCTGACACCTCTTAGCTGTCGTTGAATAAAGGAAATAAAACACCATGCACGATTTGTCCCAGTTTCTGGTTAATCTGAAGGTAGCACTTACCTTCAGAACGGATTCAGTGACACCCCAGGAGAAGTCACAGGGAAACTGACCCTGAATGTCTGGCGTGGACTCTTTTAAAGTAAAACCATTTTCTCGTATGATCTGCTTATAGTAATGGGCCGAAGACTTGGGTTTCCTTTCTTTCTGTTTGCTGTTAAAATCCAGGTAAAATAATCCTCGGCGGATGGTGTAAGCATCTTGCCATTCAAAGCCATCCAGGAGAGACCAGGCGGTGTAACCAAAGACTTGCACGTCATCCAACCTTATTGCTGCACAGAGAAAAGAAAGTAGAGATGTTTGGAGGCCAAAACACTCTAGTTCATGTTCACAGTTTCACTAACAACACGCTAGGGGATGGTATATTGTGAAACCAACCTTTTTCCTAATTTGCAGGCCCATTGTACCAAATGTTTATACTTGAAAAATATCAACATTTCTTTGATTTTCTTCAAGAATGAGAGTCCCTGCCCACCCCCTCCCCAAGCAAGTGAATGATACGGTTAAAGGATCAAATTAAAAATAATCCCAAGTTCAAGGTCAGGTGCAGTGGCTCACACCTGTAACCCCAGCACTTTGTGAGGCCAGAGTGAGAGGAACTTGAACCCAGAAGTTCAAAACCAGACTGGGGATCATAGTGAGACCTCATCTTTACAACATTAAAAAAAAAAATTAAGTGGGTGTGGTGGCGTGTGCCTTTAGTCCCAGCGACTTAGGAGGCTGAAATGGAAGGATCACTTAAGCCCCAGAGGTTGAGGCTTCGGTAAGCCGTGATCATACCAGTGTACTCCAGCCTGGACTTTGGAGCGAGACGTCAAGCCGGGCTCAGTGGCTCAAGCCTGTAATCCCAGCACTTTGGGAGGCTGAGGTGAGTGGATTGCCTGAGCCCGCGGGTTCGAGACCCGCCTGGGCAGCGAGACCTCATCTCTACAATAAATCAAAAAATCAGCCAGGCATGGTAGCGCATGCCTGTAATTCCGGCTACTCGGAAGGCTGAGGCAGAAGGATCACCGGAGCCCGGCAGGTTGAGGCTGCGGTGGCCGTGAGCGGCCACTGCACTCCAGTCTGGGCGATAGAGTGAGACTCTAACTCAAAAAAAATAAAATAGAATAGAATAAAATATATATACGTATATATTTTATAATATATAGCTATAGATATATATACTTGAAAAGTATAGTTATATATATATGTGTGTGCATAGAGCATATATATAGAACTATATATAGATATCTATGGATATTTATATCTTCCTAAATTCAGTCCAGCCAGCTGGGTCCTGAAAAAAAAGAAAAAGAAAGAAAATATTCCTGAGGCTTAGTGTACAAATCTGTGATGGGGGCATGGTAATATCCAGAATCTTTGGGACCATTGCAGATGTCTGCTCAAGACTAAGAGTTTCTCATTTCAATTTTGGATTGAATCCTGTTTGTAGACAAGCTATCCATCCCATGAAAATATATATATTTTTTAAGTCGAAGTCTCACTCTGTCACCCAGGCTGGAGTGCAGTGGCAGGCTCACGACCACTGCAGCCTCAACCTGCTGGGCTTAAGCGATCCTCCCTCCTCAGCCTTCCAAGTAGCTACAAGCACTGCCACCACACCCAGCTAATTTTTTAATTTATTGTAGAGATGAGGTCTCGCCAAGTTGCCCAGGCTGGTCTCGAACCCCTGGACTCCGGTAGTCCTCTCGGTCTCCCAAAATGCTGGAATTACAGCGAGCCATCGCGCCTGGCTGAAACTCTTCTTCAGGGGCTAAAAAAAGTCAGCTTTTAGAATTAACATGAGGGAATGAGGATGCATGAGGCAAAAGAAGCAAAACGACAGAGGAGAATGGGAATTGGCTGGGTGAAGGGGCAGGGGGACATGGGTTTGTCCTGCTGTGTTCCTGGAAGGAGACAATTGGGCAAGTTTCTTGGCCTCGGTTTTCTTATTTGTAAACAGAAAATATTGGACAAGAAGATTTCTGAGGATCTTTTCAGCTTTAAAACTCTGATTCAATGACTTGTAGGAGTTGGGTAAAAATGAAATATGAAAATCAGCAGTCAAAACAATACCCAAATCAACCCTGAATCACTTATCTTTTCTTGAAAGCTTCCATTTCTCTCATGGAGATGCCTCATTTCTGCATTTTTGGCATTTTTATCACTGACATTATTTTCCTAAAAGGTGGAAAATCCATGCCAAGAGCTTCCAAGGAGATAATATCTTTCAACGGGCCCTGGTTCTAGACCCTTGGTGTTGTAGGGTCCTGAGGAGAGGTGGGATGCTCATGCCTGGGGAATGGATCCCCTTCTGCTCAAGTACATGGTATCTGACCCAGGCCCTGCAGGCAGCATCCCAGCCCTAACCACCATGTGCATGTGGCCTGTGTGCGGGCATGGCTCTGTTCTGTGCTGCTCCTTCCTGTAATTTGGGGCAGCAAAGTCTTGTTCTCCCTGAGGACTCTCTCCTGCAGAGCCTGAGATTTTCCTCCAGGCTTAAAACTTTTTTTTTTTTTGAATTGGAGTCTCATTCCGTCACCCAGGCTGGAGTGCAGTGTCGACCATGGCCATCCCAGTGTCGACCTGCTGGGCTCAGGCGATCCTTCCACCTCAGCCTTCCAAGTAGCCAGAACTACAAGCATGTGCTACCATGCCTGGCTAATTTTTGATTTATTGTAGAGACAAGGTCTCACCAAGTTGCCTAGGCTGGTCTCGAACCCCCAGGCTCAGGCAATCCTCTCGCCTCAGCCTCCCAAAGTGCTGGGATTACAGGCTGAGCCTGTAATCCCACACAGCAAGACCTTGTATTTCCCACACACACAAAAAATAATTAGCCAGGCAGGGTGGTGCACGGCTGTAATCCCAGCTACTCAGGAGGCTGAGGTGGAAGGATCACCTGAGCCCAGTAGGTCGAAGCTGTGGTGAGCTGTGATCTTGCTACTGCACTCAAGCCTGGGAGACAGATTGAGACCCTGACTCAATCTCAATTCTTTTTTTTTTTTTTTGAGTTGGAGTCTTACTCTGTCACCCAGACTGGAGTGCAGTGGCCGCTCCCGGTCACCGCAGCCTCGACCTGCTGGGCTCCGGCGATCCCTCCGCCTCAGCCTTCCAAGTAGCTGGAACTACAGGTGTGTGCTACCATGCCTGGCTAATTTTTGATTTATTGTAGAGATGAGGTCTCGCCAAGTGCCCAGGTGGATCTCGAACCTGCGGTCTCAGGCAATCCACTCACCTTGGCCTCCCAAAGCGCTGGGATTATAGGCTGAGCCACCGAGCCACCGAGCTCAGCTAAGATTTTCAACTTAAGAAAATCGAGAATGAAAAAAATCAAAAGAGATAAGTACAAACCATGTATTTTTAGAAGGAAGGAAGGAGAGGGAGTGAGGGAAGGAAAGGAAAGAAAAAGGAAGGAAGGCCGGGCTCGGTGATTCAGCCTGTAATCCTGTGCCTTTGGGAGGCTGAGGTGAGTGGATTGCCTGAGCCCGCAGGTTCAAGACCCGCCTGGGCGCGAGACCTTATCTCTACAATAAATCAAAAAATCAGCCGGGCATGGTAGCGCATGCCTGTAATTCCAGCTACTTGGAAGGCTGAGGCGGAGGGATCGCCGGAGCCCAGCAGGTCGAGGCTGCGGTGGCCGAGAGCGGCCACTGCACTCCAGTCTGGGTGACAGAGTGAGACTCCAACTCAAAAAAAAAAAAAGAAAAAGAAAAAGGAAGGAAGGAGAGAGGAAAGGAGGGAGAGAGGGAGGGAGGAAACTTGTTCCATAGAGAGAATTCCTTTTGTGTTAAAGTGAAATGGAGCCCACCTCTGCAGGCCACCAAACATCTGAACCCCTGCTTGACTTCTGCGCCTTTGCTTCTATCAGCCACCTGTAGATGTCACTGCTTGAGTAATGGAAAAGGAATGAGAGCTAAGCAAGGGCCAGAAGAAATCTCAGGAACTAGAAATGACTCAGTTTGTCTTCCCACCTTTTCCTCATTCAGGCATGTAATAGAGTGTAAAGATCATGATTTTGGGGAAAACTTTCAGCATCTTAGAATAAAGTACCGCGGTTAGAAAACTTTAAACCTATCTCTTCAAGCACTGTGTCCTCTAAAAAGAACGAAACGGCATCTTCTTGCTTATTAAGGGTGTAGCTCTTCTCTGAAAGTATTTCATTCTCAAGCTTTTATTTAAAAAAGGACAGCCTCTACAAAATTTTTAAAAAGTTTGGACCGGGCATGGTGGCTCAAGCCTGTAATCCCAGAACTTTGGGAGGCCGAGGTGAGAGGACTGCCTGAACGCTGGGGTTCGAGACCAGCCTGGGCAACTTGGTGAGACTTCATCTTTACAATAAATAAAAAAACTAGCTGGGCGTGATGGCATGTGCATCTTGTAAGGCTGCTTGTAAGGCTGAGGTGGAAGAATCGCCTGAGCCTAGCAGGTCGAGGCTGTGGTGTCTGTGAGCATGCCACTGCCCTCCAGCCTGGGCGACAGAGTGAGACTCCAACTCAATAAATAAATAAATAAATAAAATCCCAGCAATTTTGAGAGACTGAGGTGGGAGCATTGCTTAAGGCCAGGAGTTCAAGACCAACCTGGGCAGCAAAGCAAGACCCTATCTCTTAAAAAAAAAATAGGAAAGTTAGTTGGGTATGCTGGTGAGCGCCTGTACCCAGCTACTTGGAAGGCTGAGACAGGAGGATTACTTGTGCCTGGGAGTTCGAGGTTGCACTGAGCTGTGATTGTGCCACTGCACTCTCGCCTGGGCAACAGAGTGAGACCTCACCTTAAAAAAAAATAGCAAAAATAAATAAAGTTTAAAAATGACACAGGGAAAAAACCAAAAAATAATTATTTTAAAAAGGACATGGGCTATGGAAAAGATACCTGCACACGTGTGTTTATTGCAGTACTATTCACGATAGCAAAAGCACAGAACCAATTGTGCTGCCCATCAAAAGAGGACTGGATAAAAAAAATGTGGTACAGATACACGATGGAATATTACATAACCAGGACAAAATTCTGAACTTCCCAGCAACTTGGATGGACTTAGAGACTAATACTGAGTGATTTATCACAGAAACAAATAACTGAGTATCACATGTTCTCACTCAAACAGACCTTGAACAACTATCATAATACTACAGGAAAGGGATTGGCAGTAGTGGGAAACTGCCAGGGGAGGGGTGACACACCTCATCAACAAGGAGACCTGCATAATGAACATTTGTATACCTAATCCTGAACTGTACCCCACATCTTTAAAATAAAAACAAGTATAAAAGGCTGGGTGGGGTGGCTTACACCTATTATCTCAGCACTTTGAGAGACCGAGGTGAGAGGATTGCCTGAGCTCACGAGTTCGAGACCAGTTTGGGCAACTTGGCGAGACCTCATCTCTACAATAAATCCAAAAATTAGCTGGGTGTGATGGTGCTTTTCTGTAGTTTCAGCTACTTGGAAGACTGAGGTGGAAGAATCACCTGAGACCAGCAGGTCGAGGCTGCAGCGGCTGTGAGCGTGCCACTGTACTCCAACAGCCTGGGCGACAGAGACTCCAACATACACACACACACACACACACACACACAGAGAGAGAGAGAGAGAGAGAGAGAGAGAATTATAAAAAGAAAAAGGAAAAAAAAAGGACTTGGGAATAACATTAAAAAGTTTTGGCCAGGCTCAGTGACTTAGCCTGTAATCCCAGCACCTTGGGAAGCTGAGGCAAGTGGATTGCCTGAGCCCGCGGGTTCGAGACCAGCCTGGGCAACTTGGCGAGACCTCATCTCTACAATAAAGCAAAAAATAAAATAAAATAACTGGGTGGTAGCGCATGCCTGTATTTCCAACTACTTGGAAGACTGAGGCAGAAGGATTGCCAGAGTCCAGCAGGTTGACACTGGGGTAACTATGAGTGTGCCACTGCGCTCCAGTCTGGGCGAAGGAATGAGACTCCAACTAAAAAAAAAAAGTTTTGTCCATATTAGATGATACAAAAGCCCAACAATAATAATCACATATTCAAAGGTGACTTTAAATATCCTACAAGTATTCAAAACTTTGTAAAGTTTGAGCAAAGGTACAACCCACCTTGGAGCACCTGGTTGAGGAAGTTCTTCATCATGTAGATGACCGTGGTGTCCTCTGTTTTCACATGACTGTCTGTGAACCAGCCGTTCTCAGCAATCAGGATTCGAGGGTTGCCATATTCCAGTTTGATCCAGTTCAGCACCTCTCTCAAGTTGAGTGACACATTTTGCCCCATCTTAGCCATCGTGTTCAGGGGCTTGAAATTGTTGGGTCCAAAGGAAAAGGCAAAGAAGTCAGCTGTACCTCTCACCTCATCCTTCTCGGCGTCAGAGAACAGGGGCAGAACAGAGAGCAGCCTCTGCTTCATGCCCTCCAGGTAGTCACCATCCCCGTGGATAGGGCTGGCAAACCATCCGAGCACAGAAGCCATGGACTGTTGGCATTTGAGTATATCTACCATGTTGTTCGATCGATTGGGCTCAATCCAGTGGGATCCCAGCGTGATCGATACCCAGCCCTTCTGCTGTGGGCGGAAATGTGTGTTGTAGTTATGCCAAACTTTTGCATGTGCCTAAAAGGAAGAAAATACATATTTTTTATTTTTCATTTTTATTATTTTATTTTGATTTGGAGTCTCACTATCGCCCAGGCCAGAGTGCAGTGTGGCCACTGCAGCCTTGACCTGATGAGCTCAGGAGATCCTTCCACCTCAGCCTTCCAAGTAGTTGGAACTATAGGCATGTGCCACCACACCCAGCTAATTTTTTTATTTATTGTAGAGATGAGGTCTCACCAAGTTTCCCAGGCTGGTCTCGAACACATGGGCTCAGGCGATCCTCTCACCTAGGCCATATATTTTTTTTTTTGAGTTGGAGTCTCACTCTGTCGCCCAGACTGGAGTGCAGTGGCCGCTGCCACCACAGCCTCGACCTGCTGGGCTCCGGTGATCCTTCTGCCTCAGCCTTCCAAGTAG